ATTCTACCGGGCTTGGGTTGGGAGTTGAGAGGCTTGAGGGAGCTGGGCCTTGGTGTTAGTGGATTGTGGGGATGCATGGGTTGGCCGCATGGGCTTATAATTGGGCTTAGTAGTATGAATTTTCGGTATTTCGGTTTACCAAAATTGTAGAATTATAAAACCGAAAACCGAACCGAAATACCGAAAATTCATAACCGAATTAGACCGAAAAATCGAAAAAACCGAAACCAAAATACCAAATTAATTTGGTTCGGTTCGGAATTCGGTTTTTCGGATTTTATGCCCACCCCTACTACCCTCTTAAAATTACTCGAAAAATTTATAAACTTTACTTCCATCTTCACGCTTACATATCTCTTTAAATTTTCTTCTCTCAATTATAAATTTCAGTATATATTACATATCTTTTGAGATCTTTTATTTAATAATAATAGTATCGTTTCGTGACATGATGTAGGATATCATTAAATATGACAGATAGCATAATAAGGTACTAATATCAATAGTTAATGTTTACTCAAGTATATTATTTCTGATGTTAATATATTTTGGATGTATACTAAAGGTCAAAACACATATAAATACATATATTGTAGAATAGTTCTACAATAATTTTAAGGAATATGCCAACTTGGAGCGCTCAACAAATAACATTGCTAAAAATAAAATTTGGTAGTTGATTTTCACTAAAGGAAGTAATAAAAGCAAGAACTGTAAAAAAGAAATCACACAGAAATTCATGGCAATACTTAAGATGAGATCTTTTATTTTTAAAAATATTAAGCAAAACCATCTTCAAGCTACTATGAAGGACACGAATTGAGTTTACAAGTCTCTTAAAAAAGATGATCACATCTAAAGAAATAATCCTTTCCTCTATGAAATTATTGTGTTTTTCAAGATAGAAACGATCAATGGCCAAAATGGGTGCAACTTCCTTTTTATTTTTATTTTATTTTTTATTATTGTTTCATAATGTGCAAATGTCTTTGTTTGTATTTTAATTTGCTTTTATCTGTATTATAATTTTACATTCTTTTTTATGTAATGAGAAAATTCGATTAAGATTTTAAAAAATAAAGTTAGATATGCATATATTAAATAAAGATATTTATTATTCTGTTAAAAAGAACACATATTTCTTGAACTCCAAACTTTTTAGAAAATCAAAGAGATAATTGATTAAGAAATACGCATCAACTTTATATATACAAATTAATCCCCTTATAGATGTGGGGACAATTTTATCCTTCCATAACAAATTTATAATATGTATAGTGTTGAAGGTACGAAAGTTGCAATCATAGTGTCATAAAATACTTACTAATATTTGATTTATTCAGTTTTTACAAATAAATTATGTATACCTATATATTTTTTTAATGACCGCAAAAAGTGCGGACAAATACTGTTACAAATACACTAGTACAATACTATTGCCTTAACAAAACCTCTATCTTAAAATACAGTAAACTACTCATTAGGTGCACAAATTTTCCCAGCTTGACCTCTGCAAATCTCAATTTTATCCTTCTGACGAGCACCAATTTTCCTTCTTCCTCACTATTTCACTCCATCACCTACCAATGCATTCCACTTTACATACATTTATATATTCATAAACCCTAAAAAATTCCTCTTAAAGAGCCCATTTTTTTTTGTTTCGTTTGATTTTCGGTGTAATTTTATTTTGTTATTATGTATAGATCGGGAGCTGTAATGGCATGGAACGTATTCAGATTTTGTACGGCCTTACGAGGGCTCGGTTCGATCATGATCCTTTTAGTTATGGGAGTTGTGGGAGTTACTTATTACGCCATCGTTTTGACTAATTATGGGCCGTCCCTTGCTAGCAGTGGCGGTCTCCTTGATGCCCTCATCGTTTTTTTAGTACTCGTCATATTCCATTGTCTGGTAAATTTCTTCCAAATTTTTGTACTTTAGGAATATTTGAGGGGGTTTAGTAATAAGTTTTGATGATTTTTGGGTGTTTAACGCATTTACATTTTCTCACTTTTTTTTTCCCTCGGGTTTTGATGGGAGGTGCAAGCGAATATTTTATGGAATTTGGGAAATTAAAATTAAGTTTTTTTTCTTAGTCATTCTTGAATTACAATCCCGTGGCTTATGTGCTTCTCCCTATAATAAAATGAGTAATTTTCTTAAGATTAGATAAACTTTTTTGCTACTAAGTAGCTAAACTAGTACTTATTTGTGATGGTTGCAGTTGGTGATGCTTCTGTGGTGTTATTTCTCCGTTGTTTTTACTGATCCTGGTAGTGTGCCTCCAAATTGGAGGCCAGAATTGGATGAAGAAAGAGGGGAAGCTGACCCGTTAACTGCATCAGAATTTGGGGCTTCGCCAGCTGACTCGGGGAATCCAAGAATACGTTTTTGTAGAAAGTGCAACCAGTTAAAACCGCCTCGGTGTCATCACTGTTCTGTTTGTGAGTTCTTGTTGTTCACCGTATGATGATTTCTTTTTCTGTTATTTCGTTTGCGATTGAGTTGCGTCTGTTTCCATGTTTTAGGTGGAAGGTGTGTGCTAAAGATGGATCATCATTGTGTGTGGGTTGTCAACTGTGTTGGAGCATTAAACTACAAGTATTTCCTTCTCTTCTTGGTGAGTAATCATAATTCATGAATGTTGAAAAGCTTATATATGGTTGGCTATTAGCTTCTAAAATTACTCTCTTGGCATGACTATGTTTGTTGACAATGTCAATAAAATATTATCTTATAAAAATTGATAATGTGTGTTCAGGAAGATGAAATTTCTTTGTGACTTCTCTGTTTACCAGCTAGCTTCTTTGGTTGTTGGGCTTCTGCTCTAATAGTAACATAGGCAGTCTGTCCCCTACAACTACAACAACATACCCAGTTATCCCACACCGTAGGGTCTGTCCCCTATTTTAATTAAAACAACATTGTATTTATGTTTGGTACACTTTTATAGCATTCCTGTCACGCCCAACCTATGAAAGCAGACACGGCAATCAATGCCTTACTTTGATACAGCGAACCAACCCTTCATGGCCTAATAACCGTAACTCATGCATCATTTAGACTTGTAAAGCTGTAAATAACGAAAGAGTTATTCATACATGCCATATGTAACCTCAATAGGAAATGACAAAAGATAGCATGACCACTATGTCTATGGAGCCTCTATGACCATATGAATAAAGAATTGCCGGACAAGACCCCGACTATATCAAAAAGAATATTAATGTTTTTTGTCATCAATAGGATTATCCCGAACATAGAATAGGGCTCACCAAAAGACTGAAGGAATGAGGGAGGTGTCTAGCGAGGGTCCACAAAAGAGATGCAGCGCCACGGCGAAGGGATGTGTACACAACAACAAGTACTCGTACCTCGTCGATTCCCTCACATGAAATGGGACAAGACATTTTAAAAAAAGCATGAAGAGATAATATGCAATTCAAAACAATATCATTTTCATTTCATAAACATCTTAGAGCTTGAGCTTTAAACAAATTTATAACTTTTAGTGGGAGTTATAAGCCACCTTGTGTACCCATGGTGTTTCGATCTTAGCCCGACCGAGTTGGGCATCTCACTACCCTACCAATGTCGTGTGGATGTTGACAATTTTTCTAGCATTAATAACTCAACCAAGGGTGATTATTTAATTGTCCAAACCATTGGATACGACCATAGTCCTACACTGACATGTGTAGCTTTGGATATTTGACCTTTTTTGCAAATACCTTCTTAGTCATTTGAGGATATTCCCAAAATCTTTTATTTTCATTTGGTACTTCTGGCCCTTAATCATGGTCTTTAAGTTTAGGCTAAGCTGCAGTTGGAAAAAAAAAAGTTTAGGCTAAATAGCCACATATAATTCTTATGCCATTTGCATATTCGTTTGCCTTTCATTTGAAAAACCATAGAGTCATATTCATGTTTTCTGGAAAAGCTTTAGCATCATATTCATTTTCATTCAAAATTTTGAAATTTTCATAATCATATTCGTCATGTGAAGCGTAGCATTTGAAACCATATCATTTGATGAAAACATGCATAGTGCACCCACAATTATACACTAACAATTTGGATGCCATTTAGTCATGTAGCTAGCATTTAGAAAACATGGAGTTTGATGCTCCTGTTAGGAGGTGTGAGAGGTTGGCCATGGAGAGTTTGAGAAGAGGTCGAGGTAGGCCTAAGAAGTATTGGGGAGAGGTAATTAGACAAGACATGACGTTGCTTCAGCTCACTGAGGATATGACTCTTGATAGGAGGGTGTGTAGGTCGAAGATTAAGGTAGAAGGTTAGTAGGTAGTTTATAGTTGTTCACCCATAGTCTTAGTAGCATGCATGTCCTTTCATATTCTTAGATTTTTATTACGTTATGTGGTTTTGTTCGCCTCAGGTATTGTATTCCATGTTGCTATTATTTGGTACCACTTATCCTTTATCTCTCCCTTTTTCTTTTATCTTCCATCCTTCTTCCTTGCTTTCCTCCTCTTCTTCTTGCCCTTCCTGAGCCGAGGGTCTATTGGAAACAACCTCTCTACCCGTATTAGGTATGAGTAAGGTCTGCGTACAGACTACCCTCCCCAGACCCCACCTGCTGGGATCAAATTGGGGTTTTTTGTTGTTGTTGGAGTTTGGAGAAACGATTCTATGGAAGGGTTCAACTCAACATACTTTAAGTGTCTCGAAGCTAATGTAGCTCTTTTTGTTCCAACAACAACATACCCAGTGAAATCCCACTAGTGGGGTCAGGTGAGGGTAGTGTGTACGATCTTACTCCTACCTTGTATTCCAATCGACTTATTAAGAATTTAAGCTACACAACACAATAGGTGCAGACATAAATCACCACCCAATTCCAACATTAGTCTTTACCCATTTACTATTCATTAGAAACCCTAGTTCATAAGACCCATTAAAGAACTAGTGTATCTTCCCATTCAAATGGTGATTCTCAACCCATTATACTTCCCAAATATCTATCTCATAGTTGTATTTGAACATGGGGTAGAGATGTTACCTTTTAAGTTCAAAACCCTAGCTCAGGATCCTTCTAGAGATTCTTGAAATTTGGTGGAATCCTGGAGATTTTAATCATAAATGTTGCATCAATAATAAATGCTTATCTTGGGGTGTATTTACGGTGGAAGAGCTCCTTATTCCTTCTAGGATTCAAAAACTTGCTCAAAGTTCCTCTTACTCTCTCTCCCCGCTATGTTCTTTAAATTGACCAAAGTGGTCTGCATAGCCCCGCCACCCACCTGTGTAGCTATGCATGGGCTGGGCCGTCTGGTCCTTTCCTCTAGGTCATTTTTGCCACTCCCTATAAATTGTTACGCATGGTGTTGTGCGTAGCAGTTGCTAGGTGTAGGAATTGGCTACCGTGGAAGCTGCCTTGTGCTTGTGTAGAAACCTCTTTGTGCGTAGCTTATAGCTCCCGTGCAGAGGAGTTGGCCTCCCATGCCTAGGAGATTTCCTTCCATGCGTAGTAGGACTTAGGAGGCCTCTCCCCTGTAGCCCTCTTGCTTCACCTTCTGTTTTTGCCTATGCAGACCATGCGTAGCTACGCAGCCATACGTAGCTGAGCTTCCCTTTGTGCCTTTGTCTCCTTCCAACTTAGTTTCTTAAATCCCGGATTAATCCCTATCACGCGTAGTAATTGTGGGGCTTTACAATCCTCGCCATTGCTTACATGTCAAGTGGAGTGCTTTCGATGTTCTTGTATCACAAATGCTATGCCATTTTTTTTGATTTTGG